GGCGAGCGAAGTGGTGAAGTGGAAAACAGGCTTATAAGTTGTCAAAGTTTTTTTAATACTGCTGTTCTGGAAAGCAAGTTAATTTTGGCTTGGAAATAAGTATGAAAGAAACAAATTATTTAATATCTTCACAACATTTACCGTTCAGAATTAATACATTGTGCTAATATTCATTTGTGACTTATTTCCAAGTCAAAACTAAACTGTAGGTCATCGGACATATGTCCTACCCAAACTCAACGCCATCGGACATTTTGTCAGACTGCCCTGTAAAAGATATTTTGTGTAAGGCTGCTTTAGCAGAAGTTTAATCAAAATGTCTAGAAACACTTAGACAAAAACTAAGAAAAAACCCAAAAAAACTAGGGTGTCAGTGTAATTGGTATAAGGGTTAATATTCTAGATTTTGGGCTTTAAGACTTGTTCAATACAATAGAATGTTGAAGGATTTTTGTAGATGGAGATTATATTTGGCCCTCCTCAAAATTTCCATTGACAAAATCATTGAACTCAGCCCTGGGTTGAAACTTTTGCCAATTGTAGTCATGCATTCAATTTAAGGAGTCCCTTATCACTGAATAGAGGGCGGGGGCTTATTATACTTTTTCACCATTTCCGGAATGCAGACTAATTAGAAGAGGCTGGCTAAACAAATTTAGGCTGGCGGTTAGTCCAGGCTACATAGAGGAAATAAGGTGTAAGTATAAAAGTTTTTAAGCACTGCCAGATATTTGACTGGTGCTCTCTCATGCACTGGATCTCCAGACAGGAAAGTCTTCCTTGGAAATGGTAAGGGTATGAAAAGGTAGGAGTATGAAATGACCATAATATAAACTTATGTAATATATCAATAATCAACTTTATACCTTAATAAATTATCCGTCATTTCTATAGATGCTTCAGTATTTTCTGGTTGTTGAATACAAGAATCAATGTTTTGTACTTCGGACATATGGTCCATACTAACTTCACATTTATTTATATCTCCTCCAGTAGGCTTAGATGATCCTTGAGACGTTCCACACGCTGGTGACTCCACTGACTCAGTTTCATTTATAGATACTTGGCTGTTGTTTAGAGAGTCTGAACAGTTTATGTTTGGAAGAGAAATATCATTTTTGAATGGCTGTATTTGAGTATTCTCAGTCAAACCTTCTACAAACGTTTTTGCACTCCCCGAAACGTCAGCTACTGTGGCACGATTCACGTTCAAGTTTGAAATTTTGTTAACTGTAGTTATTTCTCCTTCGATTTCCCGCCCCTTGGCGTCCGCCATCTTGATTTTTATTCCTTGTAAATTCAAGACTAATACTTCATGTACGATGTAGTGAAATAGTT